TGAACCACATCCACTGACTCATCCTTAACAACTCTACTAGTTATGTTCTTGTAAAAATTCCAATAGATTTTTAAAACTTTTTTTTTCACTCGTGGAACGTAGGAGTCACTAGCTGGGCCAGCATTTATTGCCTGCCCCTAGTTACCCTTAAGAAGGTGATGGTGAACTGCCTTCTTGAACTGCTGCAGTCCATGTTGATTGGTCTTAGGGAAGGGATTGCACGATTTTGACCCAGCGACAGTGAAGGAATGGCGAAATATTTCCAAGGCAGGATAATGAGTGGCTTTGAGGAGCACTAGCGAATAGTGGTGTTCCAATGTATGTGCTGCCCTTGGCCTTCTGGTGGAAGTGGTTGTGGGTTTGGAACGTGCTGTCTAAGGACCTTTGTTGAATTTCCACAGTGCATCTTAAAGATAGTGCACACTGTTGCTACTAAGCATCAGTGGTGGATGGCGTGGCCCATCAAGTGGTCTGCTTTGTCCTGGATGGTGTCAACCTTCTTGAGCGTTGTTGGAACTGCACCCATCCAGGCAAGATACGTCAAGCATCATTTCCCTTTCATCAGTCCATGCTGGCACTGTTTTCTAAGTGCTGTACTGTTAAATTTTTTACAGTAGCATTTTCCCCACTACTGATGTCAGGCTGACCGGTCTATGATTTCCTGTTTTCTCTCTACCTCAATTTTAAATAGTGGGGTAATATTAGCTACTCTCCGATATATACGATCTGTTCCAGTGTCTATAGATTCTTGAAAGATGACCGCCAATGCATCCACTGTTTTAAGAAGCACTTGCTTAATTACTCTAGGATGTAGATTATCAGGCCCTAGGGATTTAATGGTCTTTAATCCCATCAATTTCCCTAACATCATTTCTGTACGAATGCTGATTTCCTTCATTTCCTTCGTCTCATTAGTCCCTGCATTTCCTAACATTGCTGGTGGAAAGTAAAGTATGTACTTAATTGGTCTGCTATCTCTTTGTTCCCCATTGTAACTTCTCTTGTTTCTGATTGTAATGGACCTACACTTGTCTTAACCTTTTTCTCTACACATACCTAAAGAAGCTTTTGTAATCTGTATTTTATGTTCTTTGCAAACTTAGTCTTGTACTCTATTTTCCCCCCCTTAATTAATCCCTTTGTCCTCCTTTGCAGAAAACTTTGCTCCCAATCTTCAGGTCTGCTGTTTATTTGACTAATTTGTATGCCCTTTTATAGATTATAAGAAGCTATTTCATGGAGTAGAAAAAGCTAGAGAGGTATTAGGGAGGGAATTTATAGAGTTTAGAGCCTTGGCAGTTGAAGTTATTGCTGGCAATGGTAAAGTTATGAAAACCAAAGATGCACAAAATGCAGAATTGGAGGAACATGCAGATTTCAGGCTTGTTGGTTACAGAAATGGGAAAGGATGAGATTTTGGGGCAATTGGATTTGAAAAGCGATATGAGGATTTTAAAATTGAGGCATTTTCAAACTGGGAGTTAATGTAATTGTGAAAGCACAGGGATAATAGGTGACTAGGGGTAAGTTAGGATAGATTGTTTTTTTCCCATTGTTTTGAGAGAGATTTGTGAAGCACTGATAATCATTATGAGGGATCAGTGAATTCTCAAAAGGTACCAGTAGTTTGAAACAAACTCACCTACTGCTGTGTTTAAGAAAAATCTGACAAGGCAGACAGCCAATTGCAAATCCGTTAGCTCAGTGCCGTTTAAATAATGGAACCTGTTATCGAGGAAGAATCATCTGTCAAAAACAACCCTCTAAACAGCTTTATTTGAACAATATACTGTTTGACTAGCCTCACACCTTGAGTGGTAAACCTACTTCACTTCAAGAAAGGTCGTTCGATAAAGCTCTGGACCAAATTGGGTAGCATAAGTACCTGTACTCTGGTGTTGAATAACTAAAGATGAGCTTGAAAGGAACTTTGTTGTTCTAATGAACTAAAATGTTTATGTTCAACCAATTAGGAACAGCAATCAACAATGTTCATATAATATTGAACTACTTAACCAAAAGTCTGGATCGAACCATATTGTGCTGTGCTCACAGCACACCTGAAGTGCTGTGTTCAGTTCTGTGGTAGCAAAGAAGTAAAGGGGATAGTTACACTGGTGGCAACATTCATTTGGCTCCTTTAGCATGATATGGTGTCTCAAGCCACAGCAGCATTATAAATGCAATTTGACACTAAGCCACGAAAAGAAATATTCTGACAGATGACCAAAAAGACTTGGTCATAGAGGTAAAAGTTTCTTAACTTATTTAGGAAGTTTCCTAAAGGAGGAGGTAGGAGTACTGGAATATCCAGCATACTGGGGCTTCCAGGTGCTTTGCATGCCCTGATTATGGTGAAAACACTCTTCAACTGCCTGTCAACAAAATTCCCTTCCACTGGTCCAGTGCACTGTGCCAGGTTCAGCAGTGTATGGCAATAACAGACATGATTCTGACTAGATTGCTGCCATGCATTTTTTTGACATTTTATGATATCATTAGAGCTAGCACACAGCTAGTAGTAAATAGTTGGAAAACTTTGGTTCACAACGCATTAAATTTTTTGCTGCTCATACGCACAACAGTAATATCATTTTGACATACGTACACTAAGTATTTGCTTTGTTTTCCATAAATAAGTTGTATTAAGAGGTAAAGTTTTTCTTATATAAACCTAATCAGTAAACGTTTTCAGTCAGGAACTCATGGCTGTTAGACTCAGTATTGTTTTAAAAACCTTTTTAAGGGCTGTTATTTTTACTCTTCAACAAGGAAGAGTTAATGTATCCCTTATTTTATAGAAATCAGCATTTCAAAACTAATGTGATGACTAAGTTTCAGTGCATTTTGACACTGTTAGCATTAGACCTACCTGTAAGAAGTATTTTTCATTCTTCCATGCATCTTGAACTGGACAATTAACAAGGATTAACTATTCACAACTGTCCTAAATATAAATTTGTAATGTCAGAACAAGCAGCTAAACAGAAACTGAATGTAACTTTAGGTATAGGTGTATCCAAAGTATTTTCACTTGTTCAAGGCAAAAGACTTATCTTCAAGGCAATGTTATGGATCATGCCTGCCAAAAAACAATGCTGCTCTGTTTACTTTGGAATTTGCCATAGGATTTGCTTATTTTTTTCATTTGAAGAAGGGGCATTTGATCAAGTTTGTTGAGAATGACTTTTTTTTGCCTTTTAAGATTAATTGGGAATCATACCTTGAAAACGCCATGGCCCCAATACCAGTAGATGACAGCTCTGAAGTCTGTAAATCAAAACCAGGAGGAATCTAAAGCAGCTGGCAAATTGCTCTCACGTATTGTGCAATATCATTGACTCAAAATCAAGGTGCTGTCCATTTAATATCCAAAGTTTCAGTACAGTTTGAAACTGTTAGCATTAAGAAATGTACAACAGTCAGCCGAGACCTACCTATAGTAGTTTTTTTTAATGCTTCCATACATCTTTAACCAGCTAGCTAGCAAAGGTTGACTATTCCAAATTGTCCTGAATATTAGCCTGGCATATCATGATAAATAACTAAACTGAAATTAAAAATATAACTTACGGAAAGATCCATCCAACATGAACTTTTTGGTAAAAATCCCCCAATTTTTTTTTCAATAGCTGACCAGTCAACTAAAACTATAAATGTGTTCATCTGAGAATGTAACTTTATTTTTGTTTCATTCATATTTTTACAAAATTAACACTTAGAAACTTCATAAATTCCATTTTGGCATTAGCTGACAATTCAATTTTAATTTCTCATTTGAGTGTGTGATTTACAAATGAAGGTGCAGTCAGATTCAGAGGCTGTATTCGTTCTGTGTGAACAGCAAAGCTCAGATTTGGCCTGCTAGCGATGATCAGTAAAGAAGATGATTTTACCTGCCTCACCAACTACCCCCTTCCCCATATCACAGCTGCATCCAGAAACAGATTTTAATTCCATCTTGTACAAATCAACTCATAGTTCTGGATGTGAGTACATGATGGCTCAAGCAAATTTTTATGCTGCTTTGTCTTAACTACAGTCCTAACCATCCTTAGGAAACTATTTCTATTAACCCTTTCCAACACTAGAATTGAGCTGAACTAGGATAATAATGAAATAAATATTTAAATTTGCTTCCTAATTACTTTGCTATTTACTTTTCCATTAATGTTGTAGAGAGCCCTATATATTGCTAGCAGGATCTAAGTGTTCCAAGAACTGTTACTGCACATTCTTACATTTTTGTTTCAATTACAAACAAAATGAAAGCTTTTTGTTTAATGCCCGTCCAAAATTTGGTTGGTTTCTGTCGTTAGCTGTTGAAAATTTGGATGACTTCCTGAAATGTTACTTTGCAAACAGTTTTATTTAGTAGTGATTACTCAATGGAAAACCAACTCTATGAGCTCTGCAATAACATTTCTGCATCAAAATGTCTTGCCTCTTGGTGACTACACAAAATATCCCTAATTATGTTTTTGTAGTTTACTTCTTTGGTGGCCTTGCCTTCTTGCTAATTGAGAACACTTGGTGATGAGTTTCTGTGACAGGAATAGAAATGGAAATATTGGGAAGAAAAATTTGTCCACCTCTTAGTAAGTCAGCACACAGTACAGGACATAAGTGGCTTATTTTAGAAGTCATCAGTTTTCTTAAAGGGGTGGCATTCCTAATAGAACATGTAATGATAGAATATATAAATTGTAATTTTAATGTCAATTTACTATCAGATTAAGCTATGTTTTGTGCATTAAATTGCATCACATTGCCTTTTTTTTTAGTAATTTGTAAGCATAAATTTATCATTGATTACTTCAAAGGGTTAATAAGGTTTTGCTTTTTTTTCAATGATAGAAAGCAATTGTTTGTGTTGAATGGGAAGTTCAGACTTGGGTTGGGTATATATGTTGACTGAATTTCCTTACACCACATTACAATTGTTTTAGACTGCATTTCAAGGTGGATTCTCTATAATGTATTACTTTTCTCCTGAGCAGAGGCTTCTAGTACAGAATGCTGTGCAGTCGAAAGTGGACCAGTTCCCGCAGCTCCAGCTGCCGGGAGTCCAGCAGGTAGCAGTAATGCATCAGGTAACAGTTTTAGAGATGTTACTTAGTTTATGAATAGGGATGCCACAAATTCTGGTAGTAATTTACTGAAGGATATTCTTAATCTATGATTGATACTGCTACAGTGAAATATAGCATTGGTAAAAAGATTTCAGAATTATCTTTATTAGACCATTTTGTGCCATATTTTTCATGGGTATTGTTGCTACTATCCTGACTTTAGTGTCATCGTAATAAAAGGAGAAGAATAATTGGTATGGTTTATGCAGTTTCAATATTAATGTCAATCCTATTTGGATATCTTTGTATATTACAGTAATACAAACATAGCTTTAGGGAGGATATTGCAAACATTGTCTCATATTTTCCACAAGTGATTAAATATGTTACCTGACAGTTATCTGTCTCATTAAACTGTATTAATCAGTTCAGTAACACATCTCTTCATAGTGAGTTATCATTTTGAACATTAGGTCACCATTAGTTGACAGACATTCACAATTTTATCTTATACGTGACCAAAGGCCATTTGAATGATGCGCTTAGGTGCCTGGCACTTATAGAATTGCACTAACGAAGGAACTTGTGTCTTTTGGAGAGATGTTTGGGGAGAGGAAGGTGGGGTGTAGGGAGGGCGATGTTATTGGCAGAAAATGGAGGAAGGGAAAAAATGATAACTTTTGAGTGACAACTTGCTTCCAGAGGTGTGGAGTGATACTACTGAGGATCTGTTTCATGTCTGACCAGGTGTACAGTCGAATTCTGCTCAGTTTCAAGTATACCAGAATCTTAATATATTCATTGATTCCTGGAATTGCTCCATTAATTCTTTTTTTAAAATAGGGTAGTGCAATGATCCACTTCAGTGTAATTTACATTATTGTGTCATGTGCTTGCCAACCATTTCATTTGCCAAACTATTGCATAACATATAGTTCCCTAGGAATTCTTCCAGAAACGTACATTTTCATTGTCAAAGTTTCAAAGTCAAATTTACAGAAATTGTGTGAACCCATGCTCAATGTAAACTACTTAGTGACTTTGAGATGCTACATCTGTTTGCATTACATCATTTAATGTAAATAAAAAGGCACATTAGCTGTTACTTAATTACCAGGAGATAGAAATATTCTCAATTAATCTGAAATATTTAACATGAAATAAATCTTGCATTGGGTGATTGTTTCAGTTTTATAGTCTCAAACAGCTTGAAAATTGGTAAGGAAATATAATTGTAAGAAGTTTAATTTATTCTAGCCATCCAAAATTTTATTTTTAATTTTCAGTAAAGTAAAAAGTTAACAGATTTGTTTTGGATTAGTAATGATAAATGGTATCCTTAATGAAGCAAGAACAGTAATAATTTCATAATGTTAGAAACTGATGTAAAACAATAAATCAATAATCAAATTAACAGGAGGGTGTTTAAAATAAAAGATAAATATTTTTAAACAATAAGTAGTGATGGAGTATAGTATTAATGTCTAGGTGCTTTGAGAAATTTTAAAGTTATGAATAATGAGCACAATGGTAATCAAAAGACAAGTTACAGTAAAGCCCTTAAGCTGAATTTAAAGTTTACATTCCACAATGAAAGTGAACATCGTAAATTGTAGGTCAGCTGGTACAGTACTAATGTTAACAGCCTTCGGGAATGGTGCCTATTCAATGTGCTTTCATTACTCATCATTATTGTTACTTGTACGGACCAGTGCAAAGTCTACTTCATCTTTTCTTTAGATAAACTTAATTTGTGTTGCCAGTTTATATCACACTGCAATTGCAGTGCCCACACCTATCTTGCATAATAACATTTAACTTGGAAATTTGGTGCACATGTAGTGATGATATTAACTTTCAGTTTTAACTATTAACTTTTAACTTGCCTCACAGTGTTTAGCCAATATAATTTGACACTAGTGGGAAAACAGTACAATTATCAATTGGAATAATTAGGTACAGATTTTACATAATTTAGTACGTTATGTTGTCCTAATGCTGTTGAGGTTAATCGTTTTCAAAACTATTGTTTGTTGTTTATAGTTCTGTGACCAACTAACTTTTTTTATGCATTAATGGATTTATGAGTTTAATTTAAATTGGAAATACTTGTGTCTTGGTTATTCAAATTTCTTTTAGACCTTTACGGCTGCATGTTTTCATTTTGTTTGGTTTATTCCAAACATTCTTCAATCTCTTTGAAATTTCATTTAGTCCTAATCATGTACTACTATGAGTCACAAAATCGATCATATAATTTAACCGAAGGGATTATTCAACCTATTATGTTCGTACTAATTCTCTAAAAGTTGTTTCCACTTAGTCTCATTCTCCTGCCCTTTCTTATCCACATTTTTTCAAATCTTAAAAAGAAATCTCTTTTCCTTTTGTAAGCTATTGTTATGAATTCTTTCTTAGTCATTTTTCTGGCAATGACATTCCATATACAAGAGCTTTGATTTTATTTTTAATGTCAATCTTTGAAGGATGATGTTGAAAAAAAAAGATTTTTTTTAATGATATTTGTTGCATTTAATGCTATGTTTTGAATTCTTGACTGTTCTATTTTGATTGTGGATTTGCTAAGCTTTGATATTACAGACATATTTAATGTAAAACATTACAAGCTTTTCTTTTAGTTGTGCTCCTTTTTGAAATTGAGTTTTAGTATTGCATGAGGGAGAACTTGAGCAGATTAGAGCATTGACTTTTTAGTGGAGTAAAAAAACATTCTGCAGCTTGGACATTGTAATTCCCGGAACTTCCTTTTCCTTTCTTTACATTTCAATCATCATATTGATACTAATATGTCATCAAAAAGCTTTCTGTGGTTGCTGATGAGAACAGGTATTAAGAAATAATCACTTATACAAACACTGTGCTGATTTTGTCTCTCCTGATAAATGGTGAGTTTGTATTAAAACTTTAAGATGTGTATTTTGTCAAGTTTACTGAAAAGGATAGCTGAATGTATTACCATAACAACAGTGCTGAATTTATAGTACAATTAATTGACCATTCATTGTATTTTACTTTCTTGGCCTGTTTGTGAAACATATGTAATCTTACAATGAAGGGAATTACAACTTTTTTCCCTCTGGCTTCTTAGGAAACAAGTTGATTCATAAGGAGGAGCAAATTACTGCAGATGCTGGAATCTGTACTGAAAACAAAAAAATGCTGGAAATCACAGCGGGTCAGGCAGCATCCTTGGAGAAAGAGCAACCTAATGTTTCAAGTCCAGATGACTCTTCATCTGTGATTTTCAGCATTGTTTGTTTCTGTTTCAAAAGGAAATTGGTGAATTGAATAGTAATAATAGGCAGAATCTTTTGGGAGTGGAAATGTTGGCATGCTGGGGAACGTACAACCTATGAATTAGGATCAGGCCACCATTCAATCGGATCATGATTTATATTACTCCATTAATCCTATCTGTGCTAGATAACTTTTCATCGTCTTGTTTATCAAAATTCTATCCTCCTCTGACTTAAAAATATACAAAAACTGTACTTTCACTGCCTTTTGAGGAAAAGAGTACAAAAGGAGGCCAAATGTCAACTAACCAAAGGTGAGCTGAAACTATAGAATTAAGTTCTTAGAGGTTTGACAGCAAGCGCCACTACTCAACAGCAAGCTTCAGGAAATCTTTTTGTATGTATTTGCACTTCATTCATGCTCATTAAAGGCAGTGTCACCAGAATTAAATATACTTTTCAAATAAAATTCTCCACAAGGTATGCATACCTTCAGAATCGCAACTGCAAATAAGTGATGTGCAGGAAATGAGGTATTTTACATGCTGGGGTTGGAATGAGTAGCATCTGCCTTTTCTTCTTGGGAAGCATTGATTGATTGATCCATGGTAGACCATGACTGAGATCGGATGGCAACAGGGAAAAGGCATAGGGCAGAGCTGACCTAGGCTTGGAGAAATCAGGGAAGCAAGGCGAGGCTGAAGGAGGTGCTGAGGCCAGAAGGTCTTAGTGCCATGGGTCTGGTAATAATGTATGGTGGGGGCAGAGCTTTCTCAGCAATCAAGATCAGAGAGGGATGGAAGTAAAGCCCAGGGTCAGCTAATTGGGGGTGGGTTCTGGTTGCCGGGGTTTGGAGTGAATTTCAAAAGTGATTTGCACCATCTCTTGGACCTGAAAATGTAGTTGTTCTGAAAATGCAGGTCCTCATGTGAAAAGATGATCTTTGAAGTAGGTGGAATTGTTGGTAGTACAATTGACTCATCAAAGGGACGCACTGATAATGATGAATTAAATGGAAAGGAACCATGGTCAGGTGTTTTCTCAGCTCCGTGATCATCTTTCAAACACATTGCCTGGTTGCCATATGGGTCTCAGTCAACTGACATCCCAGCAAGATTGGGAGAAAAAGAAGATGATGTACTTAAGGACAGCTCCTGCTGACATCCCTACAATCTTTCATGGGCAAAGGAGATGGTGGACCAGGCAGGCAACCCCAATGTCAGAAGAATGACTTTGGAGAGAGGGTTATTCCAGAATTTCTGAGACTTGAGGGTTGGCACAGTGGTTCAGTGTTAGCACTGCTACCTCACAGCACCAGGGACCCGGGTTTGATTCCAGCCTTGGGGCAACTGTCTGTGTGGAGCTTGCACATTCTCTCTGTGCCTGCGTGTGTTCTCTTCAGGTGCTCTGGTTTCCTCCCACAGTCCAAAGATGTGCAGGTTAGCTAGATTGCCCATATTAAATTGCCCATTGTGTTGAGAGATGTGCAGGCTGAGTAGATTAGCCTTTGGAAATGCAGGATTACAGAGGTTGGGTAGGGGGGTCGGTCTTGGTGGGATGCTCTTCAGAAGAGCAGTGTGGACTCAATGAGCTGAATGGCCTGCATCCACACTGTTGGGACTCTATGAATCTATGATTGAGGGTAACTGAGGAAAATTAAAGGATTATGGAGTTAGCTTATGATAATTGATGGCAGGTTGAGCCAGAGCCATGTTATGTTGTGCTTCGTTCTGTGATAGGTGCTTATTTCTGTTAAAGCGATGT